CCAATCACAGCGCTTGCGGTCTGCGTAGAATTGACGCGCTGTTAGATTTTTGGAGAGGTGCACGTCAGGCTACAGCGTATGGGTGTGCGTCTTATGGGTAAGCTACGGTGTAGGTCCGACGCAGAAGTATAAATCAGCCTTAAGTCATTATTACGAGAAAGTTTTTCTCAACTTGTAGCGGAAACGGACTTCCATACAGAACCAAGCAAACCGCCCGTAAATCCACCGGCGGCAAAGCCTCGAGGAAGCAGCTGGCTACTAAAGCCGCTCATAAAAGCACACTAGCGGTGTTAAGAAGCCCCATCGCTACAGGCCCGGGACCATGGCTCTCAGAGAGATCCGCCGCTATCAGAAGTCCACCGAGCTGCTGATCCGCAAGCTGCCCTTCCAGCGTCTGGTGAGAGAAATCGCTCAGGACTTCAAGACGGACCTGCGCTTCCAGAGCTCCGCTGTCATGGCGCTGCAGGAGGCCAGCGAGGCTTATTTGGTCGGTCTGTTTGAGGACACCTATTAATATAAAACATGCAGTGTCTGTAGCACCAGCGCTATATGCAAAAAAGTTAATGTACAGCCCTGGTATGATATTTATTGTTTTTACTGGAGGAAAAGTAAGAAAACAACATGATAAAACTGGTGTCTTATCTCCATCCTTCCATCAGAGGTCACTCGATGACCAACACATTAGGCTATTGTTTATGAAATTACAGCGTTTACAAAACTGACAAAAATACGTTTTCTATGCGCTTGTGTACAAATAATTGTTTCTTTTCTATGTGGTTTCCTCAAAAAAGTACATCCATCTCCTTGTTTCCAGTCTAATCTCTCTCCTATATGTTGCTGGCTCAATATTCAACATACGATTACCAGACTGGGCTGAAATACAAATTTTAAAAAGTACTAGTATCTATTAAGTTCAGGATATCTCTGGTCTAAAAAATTAGTAGTAACTAAAAAAAATAAGGACTAGTTATATTTTTTCTTAAGAAGAGTATAATTAAATACTTGTCACTATTGGAATAAGCACAGTATCTAATGATTAAGTAGTATCTAATGAACAAGTACTTGTAACTTTACAAGACACTAGTAGCTGAAGAATAAACACTAGTACCTAAAGAATAAGTAATACCTAATGGAAAAGATACTGGTATCTAAAAAATATATAAAAACACTTGTACCATGAAAATATATACTAGTAAGATTAAAAGATTAAATGTTAAAACGGCTTTCCATAACCATTGAGCTTAAATAAAAACTCACGTTTTCAGGGAACAAAGTCATTCCGGTTTAAGCGCCAGAGAGCTCTTTTAAAGATAACATGGGTGGCTCTTAAAAGAGCCTTTGGGTTCGTGGATCAGATGAAGCTCTACTTGGAGCTGGTGTACTTGGTGACGGCCTTGGTGCCCTCAGACACGGCGTGTTTGGCCAGCTCTCCGGGCAGCAGCAGACGCACGGCGGTCTGGATCTCTCTCGAGGTGATGGTGGAGCGCTTGTTGTAGTGAGCGAGACGAGACGACTCACCGGCGATGCGCTCGAAGATGTCGTTAACGAAAGAGTTCATGATGCCCATCGCCTTGGAGGAGATCCCGGTGTCAGGATGAACCTGCTTCAGCACTTTGTACACGTAGATAGCGTAGCTCTCCTTCCTGGACTTTCTGCGCTTCTTTCCTCCCTTCGCTGCGGTCTTAGTGACGGCCTTCTTGGAGCCCTTCTTGGGCGCGGACTTCGCTGGTTCAGGCATGATGCTGTTTTCAGAAACACTCAACTGAGTAATTTTCGCAACAACACACGAGCTTTTATGCACTGCTCTATGCTAATATAGAAAGGGGAACACGGAGGTCTGTGATTGCGTGACCAGCCCACAGAGTGATTTCATTGGCCACATTAAAGCCAATCAGAGGCTTTGAAAAGTTAATCCCGCCCATCACCTCATGCTGTACATCCACCATCCCCCACCCGTTTCTGTTCCTTTGTCTGATTTCCCCGCATTTCTCGGAACATAGAAGTAAATTAAACACTGCTAAAACTTCGCTTTGGATAATCTTATATTACCTAAAATATCACATTTTATTTAGAATTATACAAATCTAACATTAACTCATTCCTCAATGCAAATACCATCACTAGAACTCAATGACAACAAAAAACAAACGTTAATTTATTAATAGTAAGAATATGTATAAAAATAACTTTCTAATAACAATTCATAACACTGTAATAAACATACTATTATACAAATTGGAAACTTCTTTACATGAAATCGTGGGTGGCTCTTAAAAGAGCCGTTGGGTTTGTGGTTTACAGGCTTTTATCCTCCGAATCCGTACAGAGTGCGTCCCTGTCGCTTCAGAGCATACACCACATCCATGGCGGTGACGGTCTTTCTTTTAGCGTGCTCCGTGTAGGTCAATAATTAGAATAAGACAAATGTTCAGTTCCACTGATATCTGGATCTCGATTATAGAGCAGCGCTTATTCCTTCAAAAGTTGAACAACACGACCAACACTAGAAACTACATCTATTACAGAATACAGATGAGAATAGTTAGCCTAAACTCAACTATTATATCAAAATTAAAGTTATGTTACGTATTATATTATGCAGTAAATTATTGTATTGGGAAACATTTTCTTTGTGTGAAATCGTGGGTGGCTCTTAACCGTTGGGTTTGTGGTTTAAAGGCTTTTATCCTCCGAATCCGTACAGAGTGCGTCCCTGTCGCTTCAGAGCATACACCACATCCATGGCGGTGACGGTCTTTCTTTTAGCGTGCTCCGTGTAGGTCACAGCATCTCGAATCACGTTCTCCAGAAACACCTTCAGCACGCCGCGCGTCTCCTCGTAGATCAGACCAGAGATGCGCTTGACGCCGCCGCGGCGCGCCAGACGACGAATAGCGGGTTTAGTGATGCCCTGGATGTTATCCCGGAGGACCTTTCGGTGGCGCTTAGCGCCTCCTTTCCCGAGACCTTTACCGCCTTTGCCTCTTCCAGACATCTCAGCTACACTCTTCTATACACAAGAATAAAAGCCACGAGAGATAAGATAGAGAGAAGCTTTTATGCTTGCTTACAGGACCTACTTGAAACCACAATCATGCGCGGTACTAAACGTCATCCAAATCAGGGTCTTCCAAATGCTTGAATCCGGAAATTAATTTAAAGAAGTTTATTTAAAAAAAAAAAGAAAAAAATAAAGCTACTTCTTAACACGAATTCGAGCACATCCACTTCCGTTAGCGGAACCGAACAAACATTTTGACAGCTTTTAGATTAATTGTCGAATAATCTAGAATATGCTTGAATCCGGAAATTAATTTAAAGAAGTTTATAAAAAAAAAAAGGGAAAAAAAGCTACTTCTTAACACGAATTCGAGCACATCCACTTCCGTTAGCGGAACCGAACAAACATTTTGACAGCTTTTAGATTAATTGTCGAATAATCTAGAATGCCTCTCGCTCAGGAATTTATATATATATATATATACGGCCACATGAAAAGAAAAAAGCATATACACAAGTGTTCAGTGTTCAAGCTTCTTCAAATGCTTTTTTAAATCTGTAGTAAGGAATGTCATAAGATAGCAGAAGAGGAATGTTTAAGGACCGCTTCCACAGGCCAGGGGCTTCTGCAACACAGCAGCAGGCGAGGTGTTCTCCATATAAAAGCAGTGCGTGTAGATTGAATACATACAGCCTGTACTGCTCTGCTAAACTATGAACAGAGAGCTGGCTTCATTGATTTTTTTAGCTGTAGAACATTTCCTATCATTATGCGCATTGCATATCTATTATACTGATTGTTTTAGATTGACATGCAATTAAACTTTAACGGTCTAGACTCAAACACACCCAAGTGAGTTAATAAACACTCTTTATACATTAACCGTAAACCAATGGAAATCATCTTTCATGGTGATATTAAAGCGGCTCTTAAAAGAGCCTTTGGGGTTTGTATGGCTGATGTAATTAGAGATTTAAGCGCGCTCTCCGCGGATGCGGCGGGCCAGCTGGATGTCTTTGGGCATGATGGTGACCCTCTTGGCGTGGATGGCGCACAGGTTGGTGTCCTCAAACAGACCGACCAAATAAGCCTCGCTGGCCTCCTGCAGCGCCATGACAGCGGAGCTCTGGAAGCGCAGGTCCGTCTTGAAGTCCTGAGCGATTTCTCTCACCAGACGCTGGAAGGGCAGCTTGCGGATCAGCAGCTCGGTGGACTTCTGATAGCGGCGGATCTCTCGCAGAGCCACGGTCCCGGGCCTGTAGCGATGGGGCTTCTTGACGCCGCCGGTGGCTGGGGCGCTCTTCCGGGCGGCTTTAGTAGCGAGCTGCTTCCTCGGGGCTTTACCGCCGGTGGATTTACGAGCCGTCTGCTTGGTTCTGGCCATTATCTCACAGTAGAAGTACTAGATCAAAATGTGAGAATAAGAACGCAAGGCTTGTTTTAAGTCTACAGCTGCCATGCGCTCATTGGACGGCGTAGAGTCAGTGGTTTTTGATTGGTTATTGTCTGGGGCCTCAAAATGACAGTTGACCAATGAATGTGCGTCTCCGGTTTTCAAACAAGAGGCGACAGTTTGTGGTTCCCGCCTAAATGTCCTGCATTCTTGTTCACTTTTGTATGAAAACAGAATAGGTGAAGTAGGTCTTAAATTTGTATGCCAGATTGTGATTTTTTTTTTTTATTAATACACATTCAACTATTGACATACTGGTAAACAAAAAAAATAAAAAAAAATTAGCCTGAATACGCTGCAAGACGCTTTGGATAAAAGCGTCTGCATAAATTATTATAACGATAGTACTGCAGAATTTAAATGCAATGGCATTCTACCGTTACTTTAAAATTGCTCAAGGACCACATTTCCACTAAATTATAGACATAAAACCATCATTGAAGAGAATTACACGGAATTTCAAATAAGTCATTTTTAAAATTCGTTTTATATAAAATAAACTTCAAACTGGTATCTCTCAAATATGATTATACCAGCTAAATGAAAAATCGCTCTCACATGGAGAAAATGTGTGGCTCTTAAAAGAGCCTTTGGTTTGAGAATAAACTTCACTCGGTTTACTTGGCTTTGGCGGGTTTCTCGGTCTTCTTGGGCAGCAGCACGGCCTGGATGTTGGGCAGCACGCCGCCCTGAGCGCTGGTCACTAGGCCCAGGAGTTTGTTCAGCTCCTCATCATTGCGCACCGCCAGCTGCAGGTGACGGGGGATGATGCGGGTCTTCTTGTTGTCTCTGGCGGCGTTTCCAGCCAGCTCCAGGATCTCAGCGGTCAGGCCGGACAATGGCACCTTTTTAGTTACACCCAGCGTCACTACCCACTCCTTCCCTGCAAATTTCAAGCCCCGGGATGCCCCCCGCTGCTTAGAGTAAAATCGTTCCCCTGCGCTGCACTGGGACGGCTCGCGGGAGAGCTCGTGGGTGATTCCCCTTTACATCATGAAGCAGATGTTCAAACTCCAGTCTGAACACCACTGGCCATGAGCTTTGGGCTCTGCTCTCACGGAGAATACAGAAAAACCGCAGCTCTCCCTGTTCGTTGCGTTTGTTTACTGGGAACTCTTGCCCGCACCAATATGGCGGACGCGTTGACGTATCGCAGCAACGGACCGAAACGGCCAATGAGGCGTCTAGGTATTTATATGTCTATGGTTATATCTACTTGGATTTAACCACAGCATGAGAACCGTGTAGACTCAACTCGCTCTGTTGAGTGTCCGTGTTCCTCTGCGAGCGACCAGTGCTTGTGTTTTCTCCTTTCATATTTTGAATAAAATTGGAGTTGTAAAATAGCTTAATGGAGTAAAAACAACGTATACAAAGAGTAGAGGCACTAAACATTATTTACAGACTAAAGATTGCTACAAGTGAACATTTATTTTAACCCTCAGATCAAACCCACGGCGTGTGCACGGTAACGGACAAGGTAACGTTACCTTTCATCTAATTTTGTGTATTAACCAGGGGCGGATCTACCGGGGTGGCACGGGGTGGCAGCTGCCACCCTAAGAAAAAGCGGTGCTTCATGTGGTACTTTTCAGATGAGAGAGTAACGCAAAATAATGGCAAAAACATGTCTTTTAAAGGGGTCATATGATGCTGCTAAACAGAACATTATTTTGTGTATTTGGTGTAATTAAATGTGTTTAT